CTATTGTCTTTTATGAATGGAATTGAAGAGTGTGGAATTGAAAAGAAAAAATAATTTGAACTTGTCTTGCAAGAAATGGGAAATATATAATATAATTTCTTGTATTAAGATAATGGCTTGGATGCACTTGTCTAAAGATTTTGGGATTTGCACTTCCCCATTCACGCTCTTTCTCGCACTTAAAAGAAAATTCTTATGCTACACAATTTAATTAATTCCTTTAAAAAACAAGATTATTACTATTAATATAGTATAAATATTCATCCTGGCCCTTTCCCATGCGAGAAAGGCTACTTAAAAGCTTTACAAACTTCATTTTTCCTAATTCAAATAAGTATATTTTTAAAATATATTTTTCATTAATCTATTATTAAATATTTCACTTAGGAGAGTCCAAATCCACTTTCACCCAACCTAAATAAAAAACGAACACACTCAAAATTATACCTGAAAATAACTACTTTAATTAAATGTCATTTTTAGTTTAACTTTTTCAAAAGTATATATTTTGTTAAATAGGATACTTGTACAATAATGAAAAATGATAACTATACTTCAACAACAAAGACATAAGGGGAATAAAAATTGTAACTTTTTTTTTTCTTCTGAATCAATCAAAACATGTCCATGTTCAGTTCACGTATAAATGTATAATGAATATGAAAATTAAATAGAAAATTTGATATTTTTTTCCCTCCTAAATTTTACCTCATATTTGTTTTTCGCTTGATGTGACTTCTATTTATTGGATGTCCATGAATTGGCTACCCACTATTAGTTAAAAAATAAAGATAATTATCCAATAGAAAAACGTTATGTAAGGAGGGCGGTTAGAGGGGAAAATTTTGGAGGGGTTGATAGCATTACTCAAGTTAAATATTTTTTTATGTGCACGCTTTGATATTATAAATTAGCTAGTAAGTTTGTGTTTGAATAATTTTTTATTAATATTTATTATACATTGATGACTTGGGGCACTTATTTTAGTTCGATCAATTCTTTTTTTTTTTTTTTTTGAAAGTTAGTTCGATCAATTCATTAATCCCTTTGTTTGGTAAAATGACGATTAGCTGATAGCTGTTAGCTGATTGTATTAATTAGAAGGTATAAATAATTGATAACATTAGCTGATTGTAGAAAATTGTTTGATAAATTAGCTGTTTGGTATAAAAAAAATTTCAAAAAACTAATTGAAAAAGTTGCTTGGAGTAGCTTTTTGAATTTTAGCCTTTTAAAATTGCAAAATGCTAAATAACCAAACATTTATATTGATATTTTAACTAAATAGTATATCTTATTTACCTTGTTAAAAATCGTACCAAACACAATTTCTCTTTACCAAATAGAACAAGTAGTAAACTAGTATATTTAATGTACTTTTTATGCCAATAAATAAAACAAATTAGAGACATTTTTTACACAATATTTTTTTGTACTTTCTTTTTCTCAACCTAGTTAAAATACGCTCACTTTAATAATTAAAAAAAAATCAAAATTAGAGAGCGGTAGGTAGTACAAAACATTTAAGAAAATGTCTAAATATTAATTAAAAATGTATTTTTATAACTTATGAAAATTTATAAATTTTGGTGTGTACTATACTGCAGCGATAGTGATGGGATGTTATGATAAATTAACAGCCGATTAAAACATAAAAGGAAGGGCCATATATTAACTTCAACATGGTAATGATTGAGGGAGCAAAATGATTATTGGGATCTCCGAAACCTAGTTCCCCTCCCTCTACACCACCATTAATCTTGCTTTTTTGTTGCTTCTTGTTTACCCTTTTTTTATTTTTTAAAAATAAATAAATAAATAAAATGATACTTTTCCATATGTGTAAATAATTAATGTCGAAAAGAGATAATTAAAGAGGCCGGGAAGCAAAAAGGGATAGGGATATGGATATATGAATTAAAGCAAGCTTTATCGATCAGATGATCATATCATGTCGAGGTATCCTTTTTGCTCAAGCAAAGCATATACTGTGTAGCAATCAACTAACTCTGGCTTCCATGCATGTTCGTTGCTCTTTTTTAATTCAAAAAATCTGAGTATTTGACATATATAATTGGTTGACTCTTGATCCATATGACCATATGTGGTGGAGTACAAATTTAGAGGATTGAATCGATGGAACTAATACATTTGTTAGAGTACATAGAAGTTATAACTAGGCCAGGTGACAAGTACTCATGTAGAAAATTTAACAATCTATTTCACTATTATTAAGATTGACTAATATAAAACACATGCAAAGATTAATGGGATTGTCGTGCGTGGCTACTAGCTACGTCCCCTTGCATAGTTGCATCCCTTGTGCAAGGGACGGAGCTAGCTACTCATTCTGTATTTACTACTTTCATAACTATTATTAGAATAATAGTGTTTGATAAGACTAGTGTTTGGTAAGACAAGTAGATAAGTAGTACGTGTCACACCATGCATTTTGTTCCCTGTACTTTATTTTATCGAAAAATTTGTGTATGTCACACCTTTCTATCCCTTAGAGCATCCTTATATGTGATTATTTGGGAGATAATGACAGATAATGCACCGACAAATTGTAGAGATCGAGTGTAGGAGAGAGAAGGATTGGGTTCAACTGTAAGGGTGGGTTCTTGGAACAGTAGCATGGAAGGCAAAGCTCAGAAAAAACATTGAATTTTGTGCGTGTTTGGCGCACAACAATTGCCAACACGAGCACGTGAGTGTACGCACCCGGTGGCGCTTCAGGCGCGCTGGTCAGCACACTTGACAAGTTGTTTGTTTATTATTTTTTTATAAACAATTTTGTTTTATTTTTTAACTCTTTTTTTTTTTTAAATCTCCCCTCTCATATTCTCTTTTCTAATCACACTTACAGAAACTCCTCAAAAATCACCAAAAAAAAAAAAAAAAAAAAAAAAAAAAAAACTCAACCATTGTGGATGCACTTATATTTTGTTGCTCAAACTAAGAAGACCAATAGAAAATTTCTACATAGAGCTAAATTTGGAACTTTGTGATTATTTAGCTAACTGTCTTACCAATCGAACTGGGATTGCTTGGGAAATGCTTTCTTCATTCATTCTTTAATTTGGGTGTCATGAATAGGTTGACCCACGTACCACTATGAAAAATATTAGGGGTTGCTATCATTTCTATTCCTTGTTCTTCTTTCCAAAAGATTGAATTCCCAACCCCAAGGACACAGAGCATCTGGAAATATGTAAGTCATGGTAACTCAGCTGAACACAGAGGCTAGACCTTTGCTTACTCAGCTGAACACAGAGGCTAGACCTTTGCTTACTGTGCACATAGAGCCTCCCTCACTTTGAGAGGTTGCTGTCACACTACCGCTGGTGAGACTCGATCCCTAATCATTCTTCCCAAACTTCACCCCTATAACCAATTGAACTGCCCATGCGGATTTCTATCCCTTGTACTTAATTCCACGATTGGATGATACCTTTTATAACATCACTATATAGACACTATACATAAATATTAACTAGTTGGTAATATTAATAGTTTGTAGATACACCAGTGAAGCCAGGATTCAAATTTAGAGAGGTCAATATACTAAATTTAATAATACTCTCAATGGTATACAAATATAAATACAAGTTATATTTATAAGCTATTTACCAAACAACTACTGTTATTGTTTGATGAAGTCAAATATTAAAAACCATCAAAAAACTAAGGGTGTGTTTGGTTGGTGGGTTTTGCCCATAGGAATGGGTATGAAAGTGATTGTTGTTGTTTGGCTGATAGGTTTACAGAACACTACTATTCGAATACCTCATCAATTGAAAAACCCATATCCAAATAAAATAAGGATTTCATTCCCTTATTCATTCTCAAGCACTACTATTAGTAACTATTCTCATTCCACCCTACCACCAAACATGTTAAATACTTTTACCAAAACTCATTACCATTACCAAGTATTTGATACCCATTTCGATTTCGATTCCTATGTGGGAACCAAACACACCCTAAAAGTTATGCCAAAAAGTCATCTTCTGAACAAAAACCTTAGTGCTAGACTGCTAGTATATGATATCATTACTATTATCACTATTATAAGACTAATCTAAATTTAATTTGAATTGCACATACAATGTTTCACTGTACTCTTATTTCAAAAAGACTATCACAATACATCTCATAATTGTATTAGTAAAACGCTTACTAATTGCTTTAAACCATGTATTTTTGAAAAAGCGGCGGTGATACAATCGCACAACTACCAAAATTGTGAAATTTGGAAGAAAAAAAAAAATCACTTTTTGAATTAGTATTTTGGATGGTTCTTTTATTTATTTCTTGAGTTTGAGTATTGGGTTGTCAGAAACTGAAAGTAGCCAATCATTTGTTCTAAAAACAAACAGTGAAAGTTTAAGGTTGGAAGCCACAAAACTACGCATGGGGCCATGTGAAGTAGAACAGCAAAGCCCAAGAACTCTACACATGCTCATGAGTAGAGGATATTCTACACAAAATTAAATCTTTATGGTGGTTTGAATTGAGGATTACCCCCATATATATACTTTGTATTTGTAAGCCCATTATGGATTCAGCCAAGATCCTTTTTTCACAACCATAGTAAATTCACCATCATGGGCATCAATTGGTTATGTTTGGTAACATATATAATTAACTTATCAGCTAATTTTAATTTATTTTATCACTATTAGTTGTTTGACTTGATTAATTAATTTTTTGTAATACTTTATTGCTGTAAAAGGTTAAAATGTAAAAAACGGTTCAAAGCAACTTTTTTGATCAGCTTTTTGAGAAAGTCATTTTGCACATAATCAACAATCAATTAACAACTCATTTACCAAACATCCTTCTACAATAAGTTAATTCAAACAAAGCTCCATGGAAGTTGAGCAGAGCAAAGCTTCCATTAAGAATTTAGATTTGCAGAGCAGTTGCGAACCTGCGTTAGTACCCAGGGTTTGGAGAAGCCTCTCCTTATTACCAAAATAATGACATTTATCTTCTGAGTAATAATAAATTTGAGTGATTCTAGTATATGATCCTGAAAATATTCTTACACAAATTAAAGAATGTGAGTTCAAAGCCAAAAATTACATAATTGATATCTTCTTCTATTCTACTCAAAGGGGTTCAAGTGTTCAATAATGCAATGACAACACAAGTGAGGGGAATGCATGAGATTTTATTGAAACCGGTCAAATTTAATGCAGAATGAAATTGCGATGAAAAATTCATGTTGAAGCTTCACAGTGACAAGGCAGGCTAATCTAAAAGGCACAAAATTATCAACCACCTCTCGATATTATACACCGCCCATCAACACGTTGTAGGTTCATCCCCATCTCATGATGGCAGAGCCCCACGTAAGACCAGCACCGAACCCAGCAGCAGCGATTGTATGGCCCGCCTGAACTTTTCCGCTGCGAACAGCTTCGTCCAATGCCAATGGGATGGAAGCAGCACTAGTATTGCCATAGTTGGACAAATTTGATATCACGTGTTCGGATGGGATATCCAAACGCGTTGCCACTGCATCAATAATCCTTTGGTTTGCCTGCATATACCGATGTTCTTACTACTGAGCTCTATTGTATGAAAATACCAACAACAAAAATCCACCTTATGCACAATTGATCGGGGATGATTAAAAAGAAAATTTATCTTTTTTGGATGTGCACTGAGAAAACCCCGCCTTGTGACCCTAGCCAACAACGGACTACAATGAGGTAAACCAACCTAGGTTGCCCATAGCTGACTAGCTCAAACCAAGAAGGCCAATAGGCCACTTGCGCTAAGAGTCGAACTTGTAACATTGTGGTTATCAATGTTGCAGAAGGTGCTACGCGCTAGTCGGGAGCCCGGGGGGCGCCTAGTGCCTAGAGTACCTAGACAGCGCCTAGGCGGTCGAGTAATTCAAGTATATCGTCTCCACTTTTCCCATTTAGGGCTGTGAGTTGTTAGACTATTATAATCCCACAAACTAGTCAACTACATATGTTAGATGGTTAGTTGATTACATGGTTGGAGGAATATAGAAGAGGAGCAACCGAGCAGGCAAAAAATACCACTCGCCCGAGTTGGGCGCCAACTAGGCGGAGTTAGGCGCTCAACTCGGCACCTAGTCGGCTAGCCAACTAAAAGCCGCCTAGGACTGAAATCGCCTCGGTCAAGTGGTGCCTAGGCGGCCGCCTAGGCCGGTTTCTACAACACTGGTGGTTATTAAGTCAATAGCCTCGCCAAGATTAGGCGATGTTCTAATTGATGAAATTTTTCAAAGACTAAGTTCATCTGGGAGAGTGTAAACTTTGCAAGAACAATCCTATATGCATATTTCGGCATTACTCCAGTTATATACTTAACAAAGTCATTATTCCATCAATGTTGTTTCGTAACATAATTTACGTACACATTTTTATAGTTGGTTATATAACTTGTACCTGATGGAGAAGTAACCAATCAATGCTGGAGTTAGTCAGACCGGCTTTCTGTAAGGAAGCTTCAATGGACTGCGGCACAACTCGAACAGCAAACCTGAAGACCTCCTTACCATTCATTTGAATGCAGGAAAAGTTGGAGCTTTTTGGTGGGAAACCAATTAGTGAACCATTTGTTCCCACTTTTTTATCTGTTTCGTTCTCTTTTAGAGAAGCATTTAAGTGCCTGTAAGATATAGCAATTATTAACTACTTGTTGATGACGGGAAGACATAAATTTTATTTCTTAAACACGTAACACATACCTTTGACCCTCACCATCACTATGCAAGTCGAAAGCGAATAAACCATCTTCTGCAATGTCACAGGCCTATAAAAAGTACTAACGTAATTGTATAAGGAATGCCACAAGTATATTATATAAGAAATATAGCAAAGAGTTAAGTGGGATTGTGATGGAGAGACTATTTTTAAATCCAACGGAGATGCATAGAGTGCTCCCTTTAATCAACTACTCGTATTATCTTAACATCTGATTCTTTAACATGAATGATTTTGAGTATATCACAAATGCCGGGGGCAGTTAAGGGGTAATTGAGTCCCAAATATACCAAAAACAAAATTGCACCTGCACTAGTACAGCACCAGCACCGTCACCAAAGAGGATACAGGTCCCTCTGTCTGTCCAATCGACATATCGAGAAAGTGCATCGGCACCAATTACAAGGACATTTTTAAAACCGCCACCTGTATTGTGCAGATACTTATTATTAGAACAAGAACATTTTAAAAAGTCATTACTGGTTTAACAAAATATTAGTTTACATTCCAATCAACAATGAAACCTTGCGAACCAGCTTGGTTGGCGTGAATGGCCGTACCCCTTAAGAGAGGTCGGGAGTTCGAACTCCCTTTCGTATGGAAAAACCAATCTGGCCAGCACTTTGCCCCTTAATTGGGCCGGCCCGGTGCAAATGGGGATTAGTCTGAGTACGGTACAGGCTTAAGGTGTCTCCTACAATAAGGGCCTGCTCAGGACACCTCATGGTTTGACAAAAAAAAACAATGAAACCTTGCCTATGTGGTAGTATTTTAAGTTGACACCATACCTAAGGAGATTATTGAAGTCCTTTAACATTTCAAATTTGCTTCCAGCTTCATTTTCTCAATCTTTCTATTTTTTTAATCAATTTCTTCTGGTCTTGAAAAGAATTTCTTCGCAAAAAAAAAAATCATTTCAGTCCACTTTACGAATTTACCTCTGATATAGCAAGCAGCAGATACCAACCCCAGCATGAACCCACTACAAGCAGCAGTGATATCGAAAGATAGTGGGTTGCTTCTGCAACCCAATGCTTTTTGAATCTGATAAAAAAGAACCTCGCCATGAGTTGAAGTAAAAAATTTATACAAACAAAGGAAAAATCATATATGTCAATGTAATAGCAATTGAAATGGTGTAAAGTAATATTTGTGAAAACTGAGAAGACAACAATCACTCAGTCAAGAAGATGTAAAAGTATGGAGAACAGAGGAAAATAACTAGTACTCTGGCAACAAATATACAACAAAATGGCCAAACATTGTTACATGACTTTGAATCTTAAAATAGTGAACAAAACAATAGAAAGCAAAATTAAGTATTCACTAAATATGGAGGCAACTTATGAAGGAGTATTAAATGATAGTTCTATGAGTTGAAGAATAGCAGCCTTCAAATATTACCATTGTTTTTGCAACTATAGTAATGCAATATGGTCAATACAATAAGTCCAATCACTACAAATAGTAACTTGAATATGAGAAGATAAAGTCATTCAAGACAAAGTGTAATCAGAAAAGGAATTCCCATTCACTGATTATGAAGGACCAGACAATTGGCAACTGACAAGGAATATCAAATCAAGGTGGAAAGTCGAATTGATGAAAATGAACATAGGAAAAAGGCATAGAGGCAAATCAACAAAAAAACTAAAAAGTCTAGAAATATGAAGCAAATATGCAAAGAGAGAGTTTCAATAAAAAGCGAAAACACACACATGCAAGTATAGAGTATATGAATTCTTCTGATCACCAAATCGTTTGAACTTTTTGGGAAAGCAGCCCATTATAAATGCAAAATCTTTATCTTTAGGCAATATTGCAGTTATTCTTTGAAATAGATAGTGCCTCTTATACATATATGTCAAGGTTTCTTTTATGTGTCTCTCTGTTACTGCACCAAATGTAGTTGGATGGATAATTTGGTGCTGTTAATAAAATATTTTGCATTTTCATATATCAAAAAGTAAGCCATTGTTTGACCTACAGTTTACGAGAGCCTATCTGCTCCAAAAAGCATAAGCTGGACCAAACACTAAAAAAACATAAAAATGTTATAAAGCCATATAAGAGGCAAAAGGTTCCTTTTCAAGAAGCTTCTCAGTTGAGGCATTTTTTTAACCCTTTTAAATAAGCTCCATTTGGGCCAAACAAGCAGTAAAAATACCAAAAGAACATGAGGAAATTTTGAAATTTACATTACAAAGGTATGCAAGCAAGTTACGCAATCATAATACATGTGGACTAACCTCCAGCCATAGTTGTTAGTTGAGTTGCCTAACTAATTAGGGAATCAACTATGGCTAGATTAGCATGTAGAATACGCATTATTTGGTTATTTTACGTCTAACATGGTATACCTGCGGTGCGCTGCCAAAAAGATCCTCTGGTGTTGAAGTACACAATAAAATTAGATCTACATCACCAGGATCAACCTCGGCCATCTCGAGAGCTTTCTTTGAAGCCTCCACAGCTAGAGCAGTCATATTGTCTTTGCCTATACAAGTAAATATATCAACCATAACTAGCTAGTAGCGACACTATCTTTCAATTTTCAGCTCACTATCTAAGGAAAGATGTGAAATGAATCAGATGATTGAAGAGAGAAAAAAGAAAAGAAAAGAACCCAATAAGCATTATACTTCACTGTGGAACATGATAGAATGGCATTCAATTCAAGTACTTGCTAATTAAGAAACCCCAAATTCACAGAGAGAGAGAGAGAGAGAGAGAGTAACCTGAAAGAACTCTTCGATTGCGGATTCCAGTTCGGACAGAAATCCATTCATCGTTAGTATCGACAAGTTTCGCAAGGTCTTCATTGGAAATACTTAAACTCGGCAGTGCAGAGCCACACCCTACTAGTTTGCAGCCTTTGAAACCAACACTGCAGAAGAAACATTCAGTTTAGATTCTTCAGAATAAAGGGCAGATGAATAAACTAACTGAAAATTAGTAATGAGACGCGGAGGAGCATGAAATTGGGAATTGCGAATTGTACATCGATAATCTGAAAGTCTGCGGTACCTGGAGTCCGCATTTATAAGCGGAGTAGGGCGAGAGGCGGATGGATCCGCGGCGGATGCGTTGAAAACGAGCTTCCGCGCTCCAACTCGGCGCAAGGACACCATGCGTGAGCTGGAAGTAGGGGAGATAGAGGCGCCGGAAAACTTGACCGGCGTGAGTTGAGAAGAGAAGGGATTGACGCATTGACAGCCCATGATTGGAGGAGAAATCTAGAGTTGTGGGAGTAAGGAAGAAAGGATAAATGTTGGGAAGAGTGACCGGCGGCAAGAAGTGGGTGGTCGCCGGCGGGGCGTATAATGAGAGAGAAATGAAGAATGGTGGCTGGGGTTTTGTTGTGTTGGGTTGCGGAGTGAGCGAGAGATGGACGGAGGGAGCAAGTAAAAATCACATATTTTGCATCATATTATGGGTTCATCGTCTACAGAGGAGAGATGGACGGGGAAAGCGAGGCTAGTTTGCTTCTTTCTACTCAATACAACAAAATAAAAGTGGCAAATTTTACCATGGTACATGTAGCCTATTCAAACTTATAAAAAGTTTTTAAATGTATACTATATTCGATTTAGAATGTACTGGTATTTAAAAACTTATTAATTTTAGAAAAAATAATTAAATAAGTTCTCAAATTTTTGTTAAAAAGTCAATTAGTCCTTTCAGTTTTTTAAATGTGTAATTATACTCATGAACGATGCATTTTGATACAATGAAATTTAAATATAAGTAAATGACATGATATCACAGGTCATTGAATATTCAACCACTTTCAAGTGTATTTTCAGGCAAAAGAGTGACTGGCGAATGGTCGCCGGTCACGAAGAAGGCAACCACCAGGTCGCCTTCTCCGGCGAGCCGGCGAGAAGGCGACCCAGATCTGGGTTGCCTTCTCCGTGACCGGCTACCGTTTGCCGGTCGCTGATTACTTTTTTGCTTGAAAATAATGTCAGAAGATGGTCAAATTTTTGATAACTTATGATAGTGGGTTATTTATTTATATTTTGGGCTTTATTGCATTGAAATGTATCGCAAATTATGCCGTGGAATCGTGTTCACCGAGAATGGTGAACACAAGGCAAAACGACGTCGTTTTTAGGTAAAAAAAAAAAAAAAATTGCGGATGTGGAGTTAACGGCGCGCGTTTGATCAAATTATGAATTTTCTGTTATGAGATTATGAATTTTATGAAAATTCATAATCGCATAACAGAAAATTCATAATCGCATAACAGAAAATTCATAATCGCATAACAGAAAATTCATAATCTCACAACTGAAAATTCATAATCTCATAACAGAAAATTCATAATCTTATAACAGAAAATTCATAATCTCATGGTTCCAAAGTGAATGTGTAGGCATGGTTCCAAAGTGAATGTGCAGGCATGGATTCATAATTTATGAATGTCCGTGATTTCGGACGGGAATATGTAGGCATGGTTCCAAAGTGAATGTGCAGGCATGGATTCATAATTTATGAATGTTCGAAATTATGAATGTAATGAAAATTCATAATCTCATAACAGAAAATTCATAATCGCATAACAGAAAATTCATAATCTCATAACTGAAAATTCATAATCTCATAACAGAAAATTCATAATCTTATAACAAAAAATTCATAATCTCATGGTTCCAAAGTGAATGTGTAGGCATGGTTCCAAAGTGAATGTGCAGGCATGGATTCATAATTTATGAATGTCCGTAATTTCGGACGGGAATGTGTAGGCATGGTTCCAAAGTGAATGTGCAGACATAAATTCATAATTTATGAATGTCCGAAATCTTTGTTCACCTCAAATTAAAGTGAAACCGCAAAATGTGAAAATAAAGAAAAAAAGTCACGTAATTAATTAAGAAAAAAAAAAAAAAAAAGATAACGGTGTGCTAATATCGTTGGAACCGTGTCCATAACATAACGTCCCGAAATGTATTGTTTAGGGATGCAATTGCACCTTTAAAAAGTTGAAGGGTTACTGTTTATGCTTGCAACTACTATACAAAGCAGATATGAGTTTGTTGGTTAATTACAAGGACAAGGCCAATTGTCTAGATACAAGATCAATCCATCACTGATTTTCGCATCCCCTTTGTAGTCGCCTTTATTTCATAGAAAATCCAACAATTAGCAAATTAATGGTTGATCAGACGAAAAAAAATAATCGTAATCAAATTAATTTGATTAATTCAATCGGTAATTGAATTATTATCCATTCTAATCTTAACAAACTACTATCTAATCCGATCCTAATAAATCAATGAGAAGTATAAATTATATTATATATATTATAAAAAATTTTGTAACAAAATTATAAATATAATGTATTAATAAAAGTTATGAAATGTTTGTAAGGGTGTATTTGATTTATAATTTTAAGGACTTTTGTTGATATTTTAATATGAAAATGTTTTTAAACATTTATAAATGTGTATCCTATACACTTTTATAGACTCGTACAAAGTTGACGAAAGTCTAACAAATTTTAAGAAAGTCTAGAAAGATTTTATAAAAGTCATTTAAAATCCATTACTTTAAAACTCTTCAAAACTCTATGCAAATCGTGATTAATACACCCCCTTAGTTTTATTATTTACACATATTAGTTTTATTAAATATTATTTTAAGGGAAAATGACACTTTTTCCCCTTGAGTTATATACTTATAGTACTTTTTCCCCCTCAATTATTTAAGTGGCTCTTTTTCCCCCTAAAATGTTAAATGGACATATTTACCCTTAAAATAAATATTTAAAATAAATATTTCATTTATTTTTCTTCTCCAACAAATTATTACTGTAATTTGGTTCAAACCAAACAGATACTATAGCAACCAAACCAAAATATTCCAATTACAATTTAGAATCAAAACGCGATATTTAGAGTTTATTAAAATCGCAAATCGAAATGGCCGGTTCATGTTCCGAACTGAAAAAATAAAATACATTTATTGTTGAATTTAGACTATTTTAAAATAAAATTTAAAATAAAGACGGTTCAAAATCGCGAACCGGATCCGGAACCGCCGGTTCACGGTTCATGATCCAGTTTTTTTGGTTCATAAATTTAATAAATTGAAATCTAAATATTGGATTCTAGATCTGAATCATATCCGAAAACTTTTAATTCGATTGCTATAGTGTCCGGTTCAGTTCGAACCGAACCGTGGTCATTGCTACATATACACAATAATTTGTTGGAGAAATAAAATAAATAAAATGTTTACTTTAAGGGTAGAAATGTCAATTTAATATATCAGGGGGAAAAACCACCACTTTTAAAATAATTGAGGGGGCTAATGTGCTTACATAAATAATTGAGGGGGAAAAAGTGCTATAAGTATATAACTTAGGGGGAAAAAGTGCCATTTTCCCTTATTTTAATTACACTTCATGTTTCAAATACTAGTTTTATTTTATACACAATATAGTAACACTCAAATATCATTTTTATTTCAAAGCGATTTCATTTGATAATATACATATCTATATGAGCTATGATATCCAATTTCATTTTATACATATAATTGGTCTATTATAGTGACACTAAAGTATTATTTTAATTATACTACAAATTCATTTGACAATATACATATATACATACATACATACGAGCTCTAATATTTAATTTTATTTTAATTATACACAAAATATGTTTATTATACAATCATTAAAGTCTATCATTTTAATTATACTACATGTTTATTTGATAGTATTAATATTTGTGGTGTATGCAAACCATGGTCAACCAAATAACGATTGGAGCCCTTATTGTGGGCAAATTATATCTTTAGCCATGGTCTACCTTGCGTCATGAATCATAATCCATTATTATAATATTGTAAATTTATTAAAAAATAACATTGATCATGATTCATTATTATAATACTGTAGGTTGATTAAGATGTATCAATTTGCATATGCTCATTTACACATATTATTCTTTGTCTTTGTATAAATAAAATCAATATTACAAAATATATTATAAAAATATCTTTTTGAAATATTTTGAATAATATTCATATTAATATTTTTGAATCTTAGTTGTATATCGATGAATTTAGAATATTGATAAAATGAACCTTCTGCATTATTAAAATAAACATATATTATTATCTTAATCTTAAAGAATTTATTGTATAGGTTCATCAGTACTATGATGTTGTTGTATTATTATTGTAAATATGAACATCTAATATTATAAAAATAAACCACCAATATTGTGAAAATGTAAATGCAATATTTCATTTAGTAGATCTATTTGAGATACATCATTATAATGTAGTTGCATTGCATTTGTGAAAATTAACATGTGACATTTTGAAAATGAACTTAGGGTGTGTTTGGTTCATGGTTTAGCTATCAGGAATAGGAATCAAAGTCATTGTTATTGTTTGGTTGACAAGTTTATAGAGTAATACTATGGGATTTGATTACCCTCTTAATTAGAAAACTCATTCCCTAATAAAATAACGGTTTCATTGCATTATTCTCCTTCCTAATTGGTAATTTAGTTTTTAAGTTGGGATTAGTGCTTTTAAATTTTTGTTTTTATTTTTTTTTTGTTCATATTGGTGCTTTAATTAGATGTCTTTATATTATAATAAATTGTCTTGATTTTTTGTTATTGTATTTTTAAAACATTTATTCCCATTATAAGATCATGCATAACCAAACAACAATATTGGTAATCATTTCAATTCCACCCTACTACCAAATATGCAAAATATTTTCACCAAACCCCATTACCATTATCAAGTATTTGATTCTCATTCCGATTCCGATTTTCATGTGCAAACCAAACACGCCCTTACAGTGTTATGAAAATGAATATGTTGTGTTTGCTTAATAAATTATTTAATATTTGTCAATGTAATGTTGTATTTGCATTAATATTATAAAAATTAACCTACAGTATTTCATTAATGAACCTGCAACATTTTATTAGTAAATCTCTTGTGAGACTGTGTTACGTGTCCTTATTCATAAGATGGATAGGGTTAAAATGGAAATATAATACTTACATTTTTCAGCTTAAGTATTACTCCATCTTTCCTATTTTATATGTCTTACTTGTAACGTTTTCCTTGTGTATTATTATTATTATTATTATTAAGTTTATTATATAATAACAATAATATTTAAGTGGTGCAAATCAATAGGCTGACTAAGTATTAGAACTTAGTCAGCATTAGGTAATTAGTTACCTACATTGATGGGATGTAGGTTATTTAGACTCCCAAGTCCTCTCACTGCTCGATTGACGTATCATACACCATCTAAAGTCACTGAGAGAAGTGAGAGAAACACAATTAAAACCTACGGAGATTTTTACAGCAGCCCGAGGAACTTCTGCTCATCAGACCACGAGTCCCTGGTGATCAAGATCTAAAGCTATGGCTGGAGGTTGGTAATCTAAACTCTGTTTTAATAGCCACGTATTTATTAATTGTCACGTGGATTATGTGCTTACATTACTTACT